AGTTGAATTTTTCACGGGACTAATTCTAACTATTTTTAATAAACATGCACCTGTCAAGACAGCACGTATGACGAAAGCTCCAGCTCCCTGGCTGACATATCCCATCGAAATAATGATGAAAGAAAGAGACAAAGCTCTTGCAAAATTCAAAATTTCAAAATCAGAAGCTGACTGGGTACACTACAAAAATTTGCGAAACTTCACGCTATCATCTNGGTGAAGAATGAACGAAATCTCGACTTTCAGAAAGGACAAAAACCAAGATAAATACATCTCAGTTCCATACCACCAATATACGAATAAATTTGAAAAGATTTTCAAGGAACTAGGTATGAAGGTGGTTTTTAAAACAAGTCATACACTACAGAGCCTTTTGGGAAGTCCAAAAGACAAGGGACAAAAGGGAAAAGTCTGGAATTCACGGAATTGAATTTAAGGACTGAGATGCAAAATATTATGGACAGACAAAAAGACCTATTAAAGTAAGATATAAGGAACACATAGCCCACTTAAAATATGGAAGACCTGAAAAATCAGGAGTCGCCCATCATATTTTGCAACAAAACCATTCCATAGACTTCAGTTCATTAAGATTAGTTAGACAAGTTAACAACATCAGGCAACTTGATGCCTATGAGAGTGTAGAAATAAGTAAACACAATAATATTATGAATAACGATGACGGACCAATACCAAATAGCATACTATACATATAGCTTGTTGAAACAATATTGGATTTACTGATTACTACATAAGGACACATTGTAAAAATAAATTTAGATGATCAATATTGTGAAATCAATTTTTATATAGCTGAAAATTGTTTTATATATAGCTATAACATTTAAACATCACATTAAAACATATTGTAAAATAATGAATACGGCAAATTGTAAAATTAATTTAGGTGGGGTATACCTATATGGTTTACCTGTATGGTATACCTGTATACCATGAATAGCGTTAGCTTAGGGAAGTTTCCAGTTTAATCTTCCTCTTGAAGATGATCACTTGGTGATCGAAACACGTGCCGAGGTATTGAAAAAAAATAACGATTTGGTGGTGGGAAAAACTCCAGTAATCTCCATTACTACACCAAAGGTTCCAAACAGAACATCATAAGTAAATGAATCTATCTTCACATTTTCCTTAGCAGCCATGTGAACATGATACCTTATCATACCCATGAAATTGTTTTTTCAGATATGCAGGATCGCAGTTTGGGAAAATTCTTATCAAATAAATCAGATCTATATTTCAAAAATCAACTATAGCTGTTTTCGAATTAATATAGTTAATGATTCTCATGGAAGTAATCCTATGAAAGATCCAAAATATCAAGAAATGTTTTCTTGCATCGTTGCAAACGATACATATTTAAGGTATCACAAAAAGTGATGATGGTTTGAATGATTTTCAAATTCAGATAAAAAAAATAAAATCGTTGGAGGTAGTATTCAAGTAGTGTGATGACTACTACCTAGAATTTTCCAGGATTGGCTCACTCCAAGGCGTTTATTCACCCTTCGAAGCTTGATTCCAAACAGTTGTTGGACTACAGTAGGAATGAACTACGATGTCTAACAGGCCTTCTCATAGGTCACTGTCATTTGAATCATCACATGCATAGACTTGGACTGTCGGAATACAGTGTGTGTCGCCTCTGTCTGGAAAATGATGAAACAGAAAACAGATCTGCCGAAGTCAAAGAACCTGATTCGGTCCAGTGATAACACTTGAGGTATTCTACATTGATGAATCTTCTGATGAATTCCTGTTTTTAATCAGGGAGAAAGTATGGTAATCTACTCGCGAGAGTAGTATTCGGAAGATGAAGAAAGCGGTTTTCTTCAATACTCTTCTCGACACGTTGTTGTTGAAACGCGCATTTTTGTTGATTGGAAGAAGTGTTTTTGGATAACTAGATCATAACAAACAGAAGAATACCAGTTCATAACAAAAAAAAAATTATAAACTACATCGAAATAATAAAAATTGTTGGAGTATTCTTTGAAATCATGTGGCATCATTTCTGATAGAAGAGTAATAGTAATGTAGAAATATACCCTTTCAATTTGAATATTATATATATCATTTTCATATTCATTACTGAATTGTAGTTGGAATCTCAAGTATTTATCTGAAAAGAATACCAAGCTATCGATCAGTATCTCAAATTCCTGAAACATATGTAGTAGAACCATCGGAACATGTGTGGGAACACTTGATTTAGCGACTCCTCTATTCCTCAAGGGTCTATTATTGTCACTTGTAATGAAAGGGCCAATCCCAAACTTGACACTGTGTGAAACAAACAACGCTAGTTGACCGCCAAACTTCGATAATCGACTCAAGCTCATAAATTAGCTGGTTACCAACATCCATTATTCGCTGGATATAATGTTCTAAAGGGACCATCTTTTGTCACATATTTCACAGAGTTCATTTTGCATGAGTACATCCGGTAATTACTTGGAAAATTGCTATTGGATATGGTGAATTTATCAATGAAATTGGATTATACTCACTGATGGAATGCAGCTCTAGTTTCTGTCATATATATGTACGAGTACTTCAAGAAATCAAGTATTTTTTTCAAATATTCTACTCAAATAGCTTTGACTCTCTCGGAAAAACATATTTTAACTCTCGTTAGTTTCTTGTTTTTTTTTCTTCAAATGTCTACTTGACATGGAACTTATCATTTGAAGACATATACATTGAGGGGTACAATTGAAACTGTAGACTGAATCCAACACCAACATTATCCTCAGACAACGAAACAGTAGCACTCTTCTGAACGAGTTTCATCAATCAAGTTAGCATCATACAGAGGTAACTTTATTGAATCACTCAAATACGAGAAATGAAGCTGATATTATTCCTCTGTTTTCGTTAAGGTATCTATCATTTTTGTGAGCCGTGTTTTGCTTCTAAGGGTAATTTGCAGTGATTTGACCTTGTTGATTACAAGTTTAAGGCACTTGTTAATCTTGGGAGAAAAATATGCGATACGATGTATCTTCAGAAGAAATGGCGATTGATTTTGGATAATTCTGAGGGAAGTTATGTACACTTGATGGCAAAAGTTCAAGATATGTTCGTATTCAGGATTGAATGAGGTATTTCTGAGAAACGATATAGATTCGATTCCCAAATATGTATTTTAATTTCAATTTCATTTCAAACATATAATTGGGTATGGTGGTAGATACATTCGACAATATTAGCTGATAGTTGGTAGTGTAGAGTGGAGTGGGTGTGGAGTGTGGAGTCCTGAAAGTCTTTTCTTAAGTTGGATCGTCTCTCAACAGATTAGAAACATTAGCTCTTGAGTGCGGTCTTGTACAATTACTAATGGCGCACTGATTTGGTATTATTTCGAATTAGCTATAAACTTTGTTTCAATTTGGCTAATCGATATAGATACTGGTAAGCGGAAGGAAAATAATTACTTGTGGAGAATATAACAGACATTTTTGTGTTGTTTGAATAAATATTCATTATATTACATAAATGTTGTCGCCTTCAAAATAGAACCAATAGATGATATTATGCACTTTTGCCAGCGCTTCTTCCAACCTTCGGAACACTTCTCAAACTCGGTTTTTGGGATATCCTTTAGTTCTTTCAACAATGTCATTTGTGCCTGTCGAAGTTCTGTTTACTAACTATTCTGGCAAATATGGTAGCGAGGGTACCGTTACAGTATTGTTTATGACAAAAATTCACGAACTGGTAATAAAGTGGGGCAGCAAACAAATTGTGTTGCCATCGATTCCTACCAAAAATATTCGAAACAATTTTGTAGCATAAACCAATCGATATACCCACTTCATCAATGACCTCACTTGATTATGATTCGCTGATCGTTCATAATAATTTCTTTCATTTTTTCTACGTTTTCATCGGTTGTTGAAAGCGTCCGTGGCATTCGTAATCTTTAACGTCTTCATGACTACTCGTAAATTTTTATTCAACTGTTAACATTTCATATACTACGTACTACTTTCTTTAATGTTCCACGCAAAATTTGATACAAATATTGGATTCATTAGTTTCAACAAAAGAAAATCAACGAGCTCTTGAGAACACGTCCAACCTCAGCGGCTGCCACAGACAAAGCGAACAATGAATACAGCTATAAATTTTATCATTCTGCAAGAGCATGTATATCCACATAATGAAAAAATTATAATCGGGCTCTCCAAACTTTAATTACAAAAGTAATATCAATGGCAACACAATCAACGAATACAGTGTTCAAAATGACCTCCATCTAGTTCCATGCAATAACACAGTCTACTTTCGAAAGCGTTCCTCACAATATTGAAGATGTCCGGAGTCAGAAATTGGCATCCCCGAACAATTTTCTGTCGCAGGTCTTCTAGATTTGTAGGTTTGATATTACTTTTCTTGATTTCTTCAATAATATGAGCGACAACGAATTTTCTGTTTTTTCAAATGAAACGTTCAAAAATCAATTTCTCAATAACGAATGAACCAATTTCGAAAAAAAATTACAGAAGTAATAGAGGGACAAAAGATCTTTCAAATGATGCGTCACTCGAACCCCCATGCCATCGAAAAAAATAGTGGATGTAGTTGCTGACTGCAGGGGGGTGAAGTTTCGGGTACGATTTCCATATCAGAATTATTCCCCATACAAATAAAAATTGATCTGTCCTTTGAAATTTTCGATTGGACGTTTGTTTCTAACTAACAGCGGGGTCAAGTTTATGTTGGAACGCCCTGTACATGTAGTTAGTAAAATCTATGTAAAATTAATTTTGTTCGGGGTATTGCTGAAAATTATGTTCCCAAAGCAACATCTCTTTGGTACTCACCTATAGCTTGTTCATGAATAGATATTTTTATTTTTATTATTATTATACTATTTCGGTCGCAGTAGAGTTGATGACTTTATTTTCGTTACATATGCCAACACGTACTCAATAGGCAAATTATTTCTTTCCGCGCCTCATGAATTATTCTTTCAGATCGGTTTTCTGGATGTATCCGTTCCCCCGGATTTCGTTCCAGAAGAGACGTCCGGTGACATTATGGTTCCCGAAGGAGGCACCGTAAAGTTGACTTGCCGAGCGAGGGGCCATCCTGAGCCGCACGTTCAGTGGAGAAGGGAGGACGGCAACGACATCATCATCAAGGAACCGGCGGGGCAGAGGACGGGAGGTGAGTTGAATTTTAAGACAATGTTGCATTTTCTTATCGAGAGTCAAGGGAATATTATTATGATAATCAGGAGAGAATTCTCATTTCTTCATTTCTCCCGAAAGCAACAGAGTGAAATATAAAATATATCTTGGAACTCGATAGCATTTTTTCGTTAAGATCGAATTTCAAATCGCTTTAAAAAACTGGTTGAGTTTTAACCTTATTTATTGATAAGTATTTCACGTATTTAGCAACTTTACATCTCCAGTGTTGTTGGGACATTGCCAAGTTGAAGACGGAAAACAAAAAAAAAACAGCAACCATTTCAAATTAACCCTGAATTCTGTATCGAGAAGAGATATATACTCGTACAAAATCAATTTTTTTAAATAAATTCTCTGAATATCCATCTCTTCCAACTACCCACACCGTAGTTGTATGTATCTCCCCTCGATGCCGTATTCAAACTCATTTTGATTTCTGTCAGAGAACTGATGAGTGAGATGTTTCTTTTCCGCTTGGGACTTTGTTCACGAAATGGAGCTGTTACTAGTAAACAATATTCTTCTTAGACGAAGGTTTCACACATGTAGTTGAGCTGCTTTGAAATTAATAAGTCCCATGCACTCCGCTATTCAGTTTGATCTCTCCTGCACTGATGAGAGGTTATATTTCAAAACCGGTCTGTAGGTGGTCTACTCCGATGATTTCAGCATGGTCCTATTGCTGGATATTCAGCGTGATATCAGCCGGGGAAGTAGTTGATTTTTCGGCAGGCATTTACCAGAGCCTACAGCCTACCAATACCTACAGCACGTGGTTCATCAAACCAAAATGCGTATTCTGTACGAAAAATCATGTACCTGCTGATTGTCTATAAGCTGGTGAATTAACCTCACAACGGAAAAAGACATCATCAAGTGGAGGTTGCTGTCATCTCTACCTCCATAGATGTAAAACAGCCACTAGATTAGAATGTAGAGTCTGCTCTAGACGGAAATCTTTCATATCGTGCCCTAAGCTCAAAGGATAGAATATTACTTCTGTGGTATTTGGATCTACACCTATGGAAAATTCGTCGAATGGACCCTGCTATGGAGTTTTTTTGCCACGTTGGTTATTAAAGTGAATGGAAAATCTAAGTCTAAGCCGGTCAAATGCATATTCGATACAGATTCTTATATTTGTGAACCTGCGGCAATAGATATGGCGGTCGAAGAAAGTAGAGAAAACAATATGATTCAGGCACTCTTTGGTGTAAATCAATCTGAAACATTGTTACGCTAGAGCTGACCTTAACAGCACTCTGCATTTCACCAACCATATGGTTATGCCATCTTCAGGGAATGAAGTCTACTTCATCGAATACGTGTTAGATAATTATGCTTATGGTTTCGAAGCACCGCAATCTGTTTCTATATGTGATTTCCATTCGCAGTGGATCTTGGATAAAAAAACTGCGCAGCCTAGGAATCAAAATTTATGTCACCACAGAGAACCAATTGAAGTGCTCGTAGATGCAGATATAGCGAATAAACTCTTTACAGGCCAATAGAAGCTTTTAAAAAAATCATTAGTCGCAATGGAAATATTGTTAGGCCGGACTTTCATAGAAAAATTCTCGAATTTTACACTGAATGTCCATAAATCAATATCTATAATATAGCAACATCACTTTTTGCAATAATTCCCCCCATTGCTGAATTTTAGAGCCTTGAGGTTTTGAATATTTAGTATCCTGAAGGATATCGATTGAGGAACGAGAAATAAGCAGCAATTATAATTCATTCCATGCAAGTTCAGGTTTAAGAGTTTCCTACTATCGTTGTGTAACGCTTGTTCACTTTCCCAAGTTCTGTAACTACTTAGCACTATGTATAACCGCACTTTTTCACCTGATCATCCTAACAGAGGATTTGGTTACCGAAATTGCTGTGGATAAGAACTTTTTTGTGATGCTGTCATTATCAAAGATATAAAAAAATAAATTGGAAGTAAATAGTGTGCAATGACCACGCTCATAATCACCTTTCATGTGAAAATAGAAATATTATTTGTTTTTAAGAATAACCGAACGTATGAATTATTCACATCCGATACTCAAATAAATATAGTGAAAAACGCGCTTTCAAAGAACATCGATCTAAAAAGTTGAAAATATTTTTTTAAGTAAACTTAAAACAATAACGAACGAAAAATACTAGTACTATTATAAAAAAAGCGATGGGCGCTTGATATACAAAAAATATGGCACAACGCGCCCACGCTTTTTTCACAAAAATACTAGTATTTTTTGTTCATCATTGTTTTAAGCTTATTAAAAACATTTATAACTTTTCAGTTCGATGTTCTTCAAAAGCGAGTTTTTTAGTTTTTTAAACTATATTTATTTTTCATTTTTCAGTTTCGTATGTTATAAAAGCGTGTTTTTTAGTATTTTTTAGACTACATTTATTTTATCTAAACTTTGGGATCAATCAGCCGTATATTGTTTAGAAAAATGACCATTTATATTTTCCAATTTCGGAGAGGGAGCCTGAAAATCAGCTACCAAGCCCAAGGCAGCAGGCGCTCGAAGGAGGGTTACAAATAAGGCAGGCCCGCGTCTTAATGAAAAAATACTTTTTTTAAATGAAGGAATACATATAAAGTGAGTTCGAATTATATCAAGGAGGTTACGCACAGCGCCATCTGCCCGCGAACAATGTCGATAATTCTGCCGAATAAAGATCTCGATATGAAATAAAACGGAGAGATATAAAACATACATACAGGTGAAGCTAATATTAAGGCGTATAAAATATCATTGCATATTGATATTCATGAATTTATTCACATATGGTATCGACATGTACATTGATGAATATTGGCAAGAAAATTCTCTGAGTTGTGTCATATGCTCCAGAAAATAGACTCTAAGAAACAGTGTGCTATTAGTTTTATATGTTTATTTGTTAACATATTCTTCATATTTGCACTCTTCTGCCTATGTCGTTGAAGTAAGGGGGATAAAAAAATTCTAAGAAATTATTGTATAGTAACTGTCTTGTTACCAAAAATCAAAATGTTGAGATCGTTAACCTTCCACGTCATTAATGTGAACGTACACTTTCAGTTCCCATTGCAGTGAAAAATGTGAATTTGAATAATATAAATCCAGAAACGCCCCTATTCATTGAAAAATTGAGTCCTTGCTTTCATTGAAATATTCTATAAAAATTAATATGTCCATCTATAGTAAATTCCTTATGTTCACCTTAGGTCGTGTTGGAATAGATATCGCAGTAACATTTGACCTAATCACTTGGAAACATTTTGATTGGAAAACTCGTTTACAGTAGTGATGACAATTTCGATCTGAGGCCCTGCCGAATTGTAATAAATTGGGTAATCAACTGACCATGCCGAAAGTCTAAAAAAAACCTACGTTTCATCTAACAATTTCACTGGTTAACGTAATGAAAGAGTTTCAAATAATAGTCTTCAGATGATAACTGCCTATATCTACTCATGGCTTCTTCGGGAACATTTTTTGTCTCCTTCTGTCTTGCCTTCTTGTTTCAGACCACAGAAGCACGTTTGTTTGCACGTTTGTTTATTTGTTTGTTTATTAGTTTCACCTATTCAACATGTATGCTGCTTCTTTGAATTTCCTATGAAACCATTGTTTCTCCTTGCGAACAATTTCATTTTAGCATCATAGCATAATGTGATGTTATGTTGTCAAGTCGAAACATGTTCCAAAATTTGCAATTTTCTGGTTTCTTATCGCTGTATATTTTTCGTGTGTTCGCCAAAACATATGGACTTTCAAAGACGATTTCTCCGGTATAGGAATTGCTTTCCTCATATTGTGTCTGGTGATTGCAATTCTTAAAGTGTTCGATTTCTATGAGATTGCTACCGAGTTCTTTACTAGCTGAAATTTTCGTGAATATCCTAGAGAGTGATGGATATAAAAACGCAGATACCCTCGATCAAATTCACTTTTACGATGGAAGTGGAAATCGATAAATTTTCTTGATTATACGAGAACCAACTTGAACCAGCATTGTCAAATAAACATTGTCAACTTGGAAATTTAATTTTGGGATAACCAATTTCTTTGGGGGAAATGAAGCAAAATGCTATCAACAATGATAGAAGGCCGCAAGCACTTGATGATTTTTTTATACCTCTAATTTGTTCACTATGAAAGTTCTGAAATGAGAATCAGTTTCAGCGTAGTGCTGTCAGTTGTATGTGTTGCACGTGAAAATCTTAGTGGAGTAAGTTAATTTTTTGTACGACATTCATAAATTTGGAAAATGATCACGACTGCGATATTTTCTAACCAAACGCTGTACAAAATATTATGTGAATGGAAGAACAAATACCTGATAGAGGCAATAGAATGTTTCTATGTATGATCTGATATTGTACCTATTGAAATCAGTGGTTGCTGATGTAGCGGAATCATTCCACGAAAGACGAAACTGGCGACTATTCACCGATTAGGTAAGGCCTTTATGATGAAATTGGCCGATACTTGAGGAAAATCCATAACGTAAAAGCCGTTGTATGGCGAAATTGAAGTTGCGTTTTTGTAAAACTGTTCAGTGAAAATCAAACAATAAAGTGTTTTTGAATAAAAAGGTGAGGTCTAATTTTTCAAGACCGTAAAAGGAACTTTGTATGAAACCTTCGTCTTAGAGAAACTAATAACAGCTCCATCTTGGTAACGAAGTGGGAAAACACTCGCAAACACACTGCTGTTTGAGTCAAATTATTCTTGCACTGAAGAGAGGTAATACCCCGAAAGCCTGTAAATGATACACCCGATTGATTTCAGCATAATCCTGCCGCTGGATAAACGAAAAAATCTGCAAGAGTAACCTTCGTGAGGTATCTTTCATAAATTTCTGTCGAATATAATTCAATATCCAGCGTGGTATTAGCAGTTAAATTAGTTGTTTTCTGACAGGCATTTATCAGAACCTACTGAGTAGGTACTTCGGAAAGATAAATGTTTCAAGATT